TCCAAGAGAGCAACTACAAGCGTATAGCACGCTGGCACTACACCCCAACCCGCATACATACTTTCCCCCCCCCCCAACTCCTCAAAACTATGCTGGAGATGCAAAACCACTGAGGGAACCCCAGGCCACATATGGTGGTTGTGCGAGGAGATTCAAAAGTATTGGGAGAAAATCACGGATCTTATACACGTAATCACAGGACTTCCTCACAACCCAGAAACCTTTCTGTTTGTTAAACCCAACATACATACCAAAGGCAGAACAAACACTGATAAGTCACCTACTCACTGCGGCCAACGGCCTGATCCCGACTAAATTGAAGCAAAGCCAACCACCAACGATAAGAGAATGGATCACCAAAGTAGAATCCATTAAATAAAATGGAAGAACTTACGTACTCACTCTCACACAAATACGAGGCCTTCATAGCTGCATGGCAACCTTGGATCTCATACCTACAAACAGACACGAATATACAAAGAGTACATGGTCCTAGGCCAAATTAGACAACCACGCACACACAAAATACCTTCAGATAGTAGGTCCAAACTAAGCCAATGACACTCAGGTACTACCAAATTGTTAGAAACAATAAATGTATAAACAACGGTTTAACATTTTGCAAACCATGTGGAACAAATTGACTACACAGCTGTACATTTACCCTTTCATGCCCTTGATGTATAAACCAACAATATAACATGTATACTGTTTATTATGATAAAAAAAAAACAAAAAAAAACCCCAGAGTGACAGACTGCAGATTGTAATAGTTTTATTTAAAAACACATCACCTAGGCAAAAATATAATAAATAATAAGGGTTTAGTTACATTATATGATCATATATTGCATAAGCCTGCCACAACGTCAATGTGTTTACACACACACATAATAAATATATATATATATATATATATATATATATATATATATATATATATATATATATATATATATATATATATATATATACACACACACACACACACACACACACACACACAGACTTCATAATACCACCAAAGTTCCTCCAACCAGAGCAAGTCATTTCTCTGGAAATTGTAAGTAGGATACCAATTTTTATAATTCACATTGTGTATTGATACACTGCATCATAAGCCTTTTTTAACTGTATGACGGTTTATTTCCCTTCTTTTGATGGTGCTTACTTGTAATGCTATTTTGCAAAGTTTTGATTTCTATAAAGGTTGGATACCCCAACCCCCAACATTCTGGTTTAGGTATGAGCTCCTAGTGAGAAGGACCTATTTGTAGTCAAGGATATTTATATTATTTATGTTGTTCATTTGCATAATGATATTATGCAATTTCTGTCCTTTTGAAAAAGCAAAGTCACAGACAGGGCATTTTACAATTTCTAACTTTCACATGGATTCTGTACATATACACAATTATCTAATTGTGATCATGGACGAAACCCACATTGATCACTAAGGAGAGCCAGTTTTCTGCAACTGGCATCACAAGAGGAATCATCCAAGCATGAAATTCTCAAAATGGTGTATATTTGTATTTAACTGTTAGTGGCGCATTATATAATTATTTATTGTTTACTGGTTTAAATAGACTATAAAATATATATATTTTTTATAACATTTTTTGTAGTCTTGTGCATTCACAAAAGTGTGAAACAGTGGTTTACTGAAGTTCTAACAAAACTATGGACTCCTCTACATATTTTCTTTTGTATATAAATAAATGAACAAATTTAAAACTAAAATGTTATGTGCGTTTGAAGAGTTTCTTTTTTCTGGTTATTTAATTTTAGAGAACAATTACTGTGTAATTAACGACAGCTAAAATTCACTTTAAAATAGCCTATTAAAAAGACTGTACAGAAATGCTATTTTTTCTTTTGTTCTTTCACTGTGCCCTCCTACACAGAAATCATTTAGAATCTGAGTGAAGAACAACAAACAGGCTTTATTAAGTAGAGAGAACATCAACTTTTACATTCTGAAAGGGACCAGTGGAACACTCAAGACTGAGCCTGTATATTATACCTTTGAGCAGCGGTTTTTACAGTTGACTGCTGGATGCTCGTGTGATGAAATAATCTTCCTTGCACTCTTGTTCCAGGACTATAAGCAAAGTTTTGAACATTTTCTCTGAAAAGGTAGAATTTTTTTTTTGCAGAATATATTAAAATATATTTTACAAAACCAACAAAATAAAAACAAAACACATATATAGAACTGATTCTAGAAGGTTATTTGTTTAGTAATTTAAAAAGGAAACAAAAGCTGAAAAGCACATTTCGCTAATATATTTGCACCAAAGTGAATGCTTCCCAAGTATAAAATAATTTTGACAAGTAAATTATTTTAAGATTATAAAATTTGCTATGGGTATGATGAATAGTTGATGCAGCATTTATATGACAATTGACATGTATCGATAGTTGATAAATAAACTATACACAAGTTTCTTGCTTGCTCCCAACATGTTGGCTCCAATTGCATTGCCTCGTAGTTGTCGCGGATGTAATGTTCTTCCCCTCCTCTCATATGTTCTAACAGAGTCTCCAAGAGTCCGGAAATGCCTGGACTGCACAAAAATAGACAGCATACTGCTAATTAGACAGAAACAAGCACACATGAATTTAACATGCAGGTCACTGTTTGATCAAATATGAAATAAGAACTTCCATGTCTCGTTTACCACCAGAGTAAAATAAAGCACCACAGATGCAAGGAAGAGCAAATATCTGCCAACAAAATATTAACAAAAGAAAGTGTGTGTAGGTGTTTAAATGGCTTGTTTAATCAAGATAACACAGTGTGCTCTTGCCTACCTCTCAGTATTTCAGGCAGCCTTGTGCAGTCATACACAACCACCGTCTGTTACTTTGTGTTCCTGTTCATTTGAATTATAGCACTGAAAGGCTGCTCTCTTTCCTACCCAGATAGTGCACAGCATAGAGGCAGTGAGTAGTTATAAAACTTCGCTCTTAACTCTTTGAAAGCGCAGCTATATTTGAATCCAAACACTTGTGCATGAAACCATTTATGTCGAAACTTTACTACTGCAACTCTAATCGCAGAGGTTTAAGTTATTATGATTATTATGCTTAACCCCGAATAGTTTAAACAGATCGTGATGATCTGAAAAACACATTATTGATTTAAGAATAACTTTTTAAACTTCTTTTGAAAGAAACCTGTAATAATTTAACACAAAGTAATAAATGTACTCTTTGCTTTCCATATAAAAACATTTCTATTACATAAAAAAAAAAAAAAAAAGTATTCAGTTTCATTAAGTAACAATTGCAGTAACTGCTATTGCAGTACTGCAAGGTAAAAGGGATAACAGTACTTCTACTGCTTGGCAATGAACAATTTCTCTGTAACACACTGACAACTGTAGATACACATTGGTGTTCAATACACAATCGATGCAGTCAATGGAAATGATTAGATCACTCACCCTGTGTTCAGGAAAGTCAACACCATCGTTTTCCTCTACAGTGAGCAGTTTCGCCTCGCTGCAGATAACACAAATAAAGACAAAAAAAAAATACTAGATTAGGAAAAGGCAGATTAATTTGGTATTATACATGAGTATCATAAAAAAGAAAAAAAGAAAACGGGTGGTGCGACTCCCTTAGTTGCGGGGAGCGATTCCATCTTGTACATGTGAAAAATGTCAGCTGAATTGTTCCACTCTACAGTTCTTCAGAGGTGAAGCTACCAAGAGCTAACTTTTTTTGTAGTCTTGTGCATTCACAAAAGTGTGAAACAGTGGTTTACTGAAGTTCTCACAAAACTATGGACTCCTCTACATATTTTCTTTTGTATGAGCATCGGCACCTACTTCTTATCATGTTAGAAGATTTCGTTTACCATTAGCCTTCGGAATGATGGCTAATGGGAAATGGTAAATCAAACCAAATTGAAACTCATTAAAAGATACTTTTAGTGCAATTTTTGTTTATGCTTTTTGGAAAGAGCATACAATTTCAATTATACATTGTGCTAGCAGTTTTGCTAGCAAATGTACAGAGTGGGAGAAAAACCTATATAAAAATGGGTTTTTCTCCTAGCTCTGTCAATGCCCTGGCAGACACTGACTGTCTGAGGCATTAGTTCACAAGGGACAGTAGGTCTAATGAGACAGAAAGGGGTATTTTTTTATATACACCCCTATATACTTGTTAACCCTTAATAGGGAACACATGGGATGGGCCGCAGCATTGTAACCTAGCTGTGTGATACAGAAAGTGATACACAAGTGGTCTTTCTGCTCTCCCAAACATAGCAATCACAGAACATGCGCGGTCTATGGAAAGTCAATACATTCTGATGCAGAAATGCTGGCTTTGCCACCTTCAATGAGGAAGTTTGTGCTGCTTGAATGCATGTATAAAATTAATAAACTGGTACTATAATATAAAATTAAAAAGTACAAAAATAAAACTGCTCTAACAAATACTACTTCTAATCACCAAAAATAATAAGAGGTGGGATGGACTTACTCTTTTTCAACGTCAATTTCATTTTCTTCTGAATTGTCATATGTCCAGCTATTCTTAAAGCCTCCATCCTTCTTGGACTGCACTCTATCCAGCGCTGAAATGATAGGAACCACTAATCTTCAGTTCAATTGCACCAGAATGCAGACAATGTATCCAACACGAAAGTACAGGAGGGAAGGAAGGGGACTGAAATTCCAAGCAATGCTGAACATTATATACATAGCCCATAGTTCTAAAAGTTTCCTCACAGCTATGTCAATGATGGCTCAAAAAGTTTGAACAGGCAGGTAACATATCACTCAAACTCTGTGTAGATCATGTGTATAATTAACAGGATGTAATGTATAACAGGCAGATCAGGAATGTCCACAGGATATGATTCAAACATTTAAAAGAACACACCACTTTTCAATTTTATTTTTACCAATTCATTAGATCTAACCTAAATAAAACATGGATGTTTATATTCTGCATGTTTGTTTGTTTTCTAACCCCTTAAGGACACAGCTTCAGAAGCTTGTCTTACGCTTAAAGGACCACTATAGTGCCAGGAAAACACTCGTTTTCCTGGCACTATAGTGCCCTGAGGGTGCCCCCACCCGCCCGGCTCTGGAAGGGGGAAAGGGGTAAAAACTTACCTTTTTCCAGCGCTGGGCGGAGAGCTCTCCTCCTCCTCTCCGCCTCCGTTACGCCCCGCCGGCTGAATGCGCACGCGCGGCAAGAGCTGCGCGCGCATTCAGCCGGTCTCATAGGAAAGCATTTACAATGCTTTCCTATGAACGCTGGCGTGCTCTCACTGTGAAAATCACAGTGAGAAGCACGCAAGCGCCTCTAGTGGCTGTCAATGAGACGGCCACTAGAGGATTAGGGGGAAGGCTTAACCCATTCATAATTATAGCAGTTTCTCTGAAACTGCTGTAATTATGAAAAAATGGGTTAACCCTAGAAGGACCTGGCACCCAGACCACTTCATTAAGCTGAAGTGGTCTGGGTGCCTAGAGTGGTCCTTTAATGACACAAGCAATTTCTGCATTTTCTTGCTGTATGCGTTCAACTGCAATTTGCATCCCTCTCGTTTATTGCACCGACACATATTATATACTGTTTTTTTTAAAGGACAGAAAGTGCTTTAATTTGATGTAACCAACACACACACACATACATACATACACACACACACACACACACACACACACTTATTTAGTATTAAAAAAAAAGAAAATACAGAAAAAGGCAAAAAAAAAAATGAATGTGTTTTTTGTACAGTTTTTGCAATAATGTGTGCCTAATTAGTGCAGGTTAAAGAAAGTAATTAAAAATAAATTCATTTAGTTGTTCTGATTTACAGAATATATAATGTGTCTGGGATTTTAAGTTTTTTTTTTGGTAGTTACAGGTCACAAAGCACAAGGAGTAAAATAAACTTTTAATGTGGAGCGATTTTAGAATTTGGTATGTTTGTCTTGTAAGGTTAATAGCCATAAAAGAAAACAAAATTGCCACACAAAAGTATATATTTATATAAATTAGACATCACAGGCTATTGTCTTAAGGTTGTTTTGACACTTTCTACGTAGCCATTTCACCGCCAATCTCTGCTAAAGATTGGAGTAAAATTTTGTATTTTTGGCACACAAAATTATAACAAAGAACTTCTCATGGGTATTTTGTAAATTTGGTGTGTGCTATTCCTGTACAAAGTTTTATTTTGCGTTCAGTTACTTCTGCTGAGTACAACGATACCCCCATTGTATTTCTTTGGCACTATTTCATGAAGCTACAGTGCCATACAGGAGACCTGTCCGTTTCAACATTTACTGTAGAATTTTGAGAGGTGGATTTAATGGGCCTATGCTTCAATTTGGGGTATTATAGCAGTTTGACTATTCAAAAAAAAAAAACAACCAAAAAACCCACAAAGGCCTACCATTGGTAAAAGTATACACTCCAGGGTATCTCATATGGTGCATATTGTGCCTGAACATGCCCCCATTTTTTCACCAATATATGCCAAAGTATGTGGTAAAAAATAATTTTGGGCATTTTTTTTTACATACGGATTACATTTTTGCTGGGCATTTTGTACATTTCATATGTGCCACTAAGTTCAAACCCCCCAAATTATGCTCAGCTAAATCTTCTGAGTAAAACAATATGCCCAATACACTATTTTGTGAAGTTACACTGCTGTAAAAGAGACGTGACAAGTTAAGGTTTTTGAGTGTGAATTTTCATGGAGGGTTTTGATGCGTCCGTGTCCGACTTTGGAGCACTTGAGTAGGCTACATATTACAACTACACCATAAAGGCATACCATTTCTTAAAGAACACATTCCAGGGTATTTCAAAAGGCATATTTTGAACCTTAGCTTGGGATAATTTTTCCACTAGCTTCTACCAAGTGTAGTGGTGATAAGCGTTTTTGCGCCTTTTTGACACACAAAGTGAGTTTGCGCAGTATATTTTGCAAATCATATGTGTGCTACGACTGTATAATACTTCATATGTTGCTCAGCTATGTCGGCTGAGTACAGCAATACCCCCGTATGTACCTTTGCCTGGTATATGTGGACATCGGAGGGGCACATTTGGGACACAGCCATTCCAGTTCTTTTCAAACTTTACATTTTTACACTGTGCCCATGTCGCATTTTAGAGTATTTTACGAGGCTATATAATCCAAATACCCCATAAAGCCATACCATTTCTTAAAGAAGACATCCCAGGGTATTTCAAAAGGCCTATTTTGAACCTTAGCGTGGGATCATTTTTCCGCTAGCTTGTACCAAGTGTAGTGGTAATGAGCATTTTTTAATGTATTTTTTTACTTTGTAAAACTTTTTTTACTTTGTAAAACCCGTTTTGAAACTTTTTTTTTACTTATTAAATGTTTTACACTTTCTTAACTTTTTTTACACTTTTACATTTTTTTCTAAACTTTTCTTTTACCGTTAACCCCTAACTAGCAGTAAGCAGCACTAACAGTAAATTCCCCCCTTTCCCATAACTCCCACCCACTCCAGCTAGCAAAATATTATATATATATATATATAAAAAAAAAAATATATATATATATATATATATATATAAAAAATATATAAATATATAAATATAAAAAAAATATATATATAAAAATTATAAAATATTTAAATTAATTAATTTGAACCCATGAGGGTTAAAAAATAAATAAAAGTTAATCCTCAGGGGTTAAAAGAGATTTTACAGTATAATACTGTGATCTGTATTTTGATCACTGTAGGCAGTGATCAACTGGCAGGGAAGGGGTTAATTTTTATTTAGACTGGGTAAAGGGGGTGTTTTGTTTTTTTTACTTAAAACATTACTAAAACATTTTTTTAAAACCTTTTTTTACCTTTTCAAAGCTTATTTTAAAACTTTTTTTAACGTTAACCCATAGTTAGCCTAACACCAAATTCCCCAATAACGTCCACCCATCCCAGCTAGCTAAATATATAATTTTTAAATATTTAAATGAATTAATAATATATATATATATATATATATATATATATATATATATATATATATATATATATATTACACACACACACACACACACACACACCCCCTCAGGGGTTAAAATAAATAAATCAGATGACATTAAAATATATACCCTGCCAATTGATCACTGTAGTCTGTGATCAATTGGCAGGGAAGGGGTTAATTTTCTTAAAGCAGGGGAAAGGGGGTGGGATTTAACTTCATTTTATTTTACACACAGGGAGAAGAGGATCAGCTCTGATCCGTCTCCCTGCACTTCACACAGAACCCGGAAGTGCACGGAGGTGGAAGGTAAGTACACTGAGCACATGTGCTCGCTCTGACAGCCTGTCAGAGCAAGCACCAGTGCTGGGGCAGCCCGATCGGGTGCTCCCGGTCTGCCGCTAATACAGAGGCAGACCGGAGCGCCATTAACCCCGCGATCTGGGGTTAACTTTAGTAAATGATGGAAATTTTCCGTCAACGGTCCTTAACCAAAGGACAAGGTTGACGGAAATTTTCCGTCTGCGGTCGGGAAGGAGTTAAGGATATGAGGAGGAAACCAAAAACCAAACTTGCAGAAGCTGCAGATCTGTTGTCTGCAGCCTTTACAAGTCCTCCCCACTTTCTGTGCCAGGTAATACACCATTGTATGCTGGAAACACACATACACGATCGCTGAGTGTTCTCTTTCTCCCTGGGGTCCAGTGGCTGCTTGGGCGGGTGGCGATGGCGAGGGAGCACTTCCCCTGATCTGTCTGCTCAGCTCCCTCGCACGCTGCAGAGTGAAGCTGGGAGCCGGAATATGACGTCATATACCGCTCAGAGGAAGAGCTCCCTCGCCAGCCGCCCGCCCAGCCCAGCATGTCAGTTAGCCGCAAGGCTAACAAGGCATTTGCCTTGGGCATTTGGGGGCGGCGTTTTTTGCCGCCCCCTGGAAAATGCCGCCCAAGGCAAATGCCTTGTTTGCCTCGCGGCTAAAAGGAGGTATATGATGGTGCAATTAGATACAGTAAAGAATTATCTTTGTGTGGGTAACACACACAAACACATACACACACACACACAACTGCTTTAGTTGAAATCACCAGCTATTACTGGCCAACTATCTCACAACCTTCTCAATAATTCACATCTGAAAAAAATATTTCCTATAATTCCCCTCATATTCCTAATTGTCCTTTTGATCAACAGCATGAAAATATGTGTAAACAAATATTGCAATGGACAGGAGTCTTTTTTTAATTTTACAATTTTTTAAAATTAAACTATATAACTGTAATTGATCATATTTTGCCTCACTGAAGATGATCACTTTAAAAGGGATCAATCCACTCACGACCGCATTATCAGTACAAAGTTGTTATGGTGTGATGCAGTCCAGGGTGCCAGCTGAACGGTCAGAACAATTGAGCACCAGATTGAAGACTTTGTGGTAAAACTATTTGTTTATCCCTTCAGGATTGCCTGCGCCCGGCACCTCCTGGCACCATAAGAACTTAATTGAAATTAAGCTGTTATGGTACCCTGGGTCGTCCTTTAAGCGTTTCATCGCAATTTTGTAAAAAAAAAAAAAAATGTTCTATACAGTTAGAATTATATAAGATGTGAACTTTTCTTAGGGTGCATAAACCTAAGTCTTTAAACCTACCTATGATACATTTCAAAATTCTTAAAAAATTTGTAAATCGCTCTGGATAAAAGCTCTATATATTAGAACACATTTATAAAAATCAGTCTACTGTTATAGGTATCGGATTAAATTTACAACAATAAGATTACAGTTAGGAGTAGCTCAACCACCATGACCACTTCAATATTCAGTCATTTGAATTGCATCTGAAATACTGCACAAGCAGGGTTATTTGCACTTGTGTGCCAGAGGCTAGTTGCACTCCTTGCACACATGACTGTGGCAGTCATGAAAGAGCTACGGGTACCCAAATGTCAGTTCTTTGCATTAAATGCATCCTAGTCAGGGTGCACAGCACGCTGGCACTTATAGAGAATTGCCCAGTTAGAGACTGCAAGAGGAAGCATGGTTGTTCCTCCCACTGCTCCCCCACCCTGTTTCTACTTCATCTACTTAACAGTCACCCGAGATGTACAGATATTTCAACATTTGCCATCTTAAAGTTTAACCCAATGCCTTACTCGAATGTTATTTTGCATACACTAACAGAACACTAAACAAATACATATGGAAGGACAAATTACAACTATTTCCCACAACCTCTCAGACAAAACGAATGAGTTTTCTTCAAGTGTAACAAACGGGATCCTAGTTCCAATATATCAAACTTTATACATACACTGTGATACCAACATTCCATTAAAATGAAAGAGGACATGTTATTAAAGTGTACAAGGGTTTATTATGCCTGTTGGCTGCATAAGCAGTAGGATGAAAACTACATATATTGCCACCAAGGGGATGTGTATTCACTTGTTTCCCCAACACTTGCAACAATACATCAATAATCAACCATTTGGCTGCATTCAGTTATTTACACTTCACTACACAGACAATTTTGAAGGAGATTAAAACAAGTTTGATGTACATGCTGTAACATAACCATTTGTAGGTGATTTTATTGACAGAATATATAGATGAAACAAATCATCTTTTCTGGAGGACAAGTCTACTTTGAAATCACATAGGTCTGCACACACAATCACGGTAATTTACTACAGTCAGAATTCCCAAGAAATCAAAGTGAATTTTAACTAGAAGGTATACATAGCCAAACTGGGAAAAAAAAGTCTACTATGCTTCCAGTTTGGCTGTTGACCTTTAATATGAAATTCTGTTTTAATTCACTTTGAATTCCTGACAATTCTCACAATAGTTAACAACCTGAATGTTTCTGAAGGTGAAGTTAGTCTTAGTTTTAAATGGTGGTAGTTTAATACTTTTCATGCAATAATTCTACCACCAGCCTTTGGCAAACTTTTGGGTAGTAATTTTATTCGTGTTTTTTTACACATACATTGTACTTTAGGCATGAATTAACAGATCCTGTTATGTATCACTGCCAAACCACACCCCAATAGGTGTTCAGCAACATCTCCTGAGTACAGTGATATCATCCATGCACAGGTTTGCTGGGTTGTTTGGGAGTTAAAAGGCCACAATCGAGACTTGTACATATCAGTTTTTCAACTTGATATATAGGTATGCTTGGCCTATCTTCAGTTTGGCATATTTTTGCATCCCCCTTGTTAATGTTAACATCATGAAAGTTTATATTTTTATAAAGCAGACATTCCAGGGTATTGTATATGAGGTGTTTTCACATCCTTCCCCCAACCATTGTGCTAAACAAGTTTCAGAGAACGTGCATGGTGGTAATTTTAGAATTCTGCTTTTCATGCACACGTCATCTGGTTTTGGCCAGCCAGTTATATGTTACTACCATAAAACTTTAACCAAATGTGCAGGTATCAAATGCACCTTTAGCAGCATTCTCTAAACTAACTCCTGCAAAAAGAATCTAACTGGATAATTGGGGGAAGGAAACTGACTAACTAAAATGTGCTGCTTTCAAAAAAAAACAACAAAAAAAAACAGTGCAAAGGGGTGTCTGTCCTTTTCCCTTTTTTATAACAGACCCAGCAACATTTCAGGGGATTTGTTTTTTTTTTGCAGTTGGCGGTATCTTAAAAATAAAATGTCTGGACTCCTCTGGCAGCGTTGTTGGAACTTGACTATCTCCATAAATTATTGTGGAAATCAGCTTGAAATGAAATTGGAGAAAGGTGGTTCTTTCAGGATTGATTTTTTTAAAGAGTGAAAATGAGTTATGTGTTGCTACTTGCATCAGGTAGATAGCCACCTTTTTATACCAGGCTTTTGTCTTTCTTAAGATAAGATATGGCTGCATCAGCTGATCAGCCAAATCAACACCCCCATGTGCATTTTATAAGCCGTGATGCAAACAGGTTTGGTCTGTACTCTGCCTCGGACAGTGACGTCTGACATGCTTTCGTCATGGATGGTGGTTAGTATATTAACATCCTTCCTGTCCTTAAATTTTATTGCAAGCACTTTAGCTTTGTGCAGACCTTTACATTCACTTTTTTTTTTAATTTGGCCTCTATAAAAATGTCTGGGGAAATCCTTGGCATATCTTCTCACACTGCCACAGGCCAGTATCTAGAAACCCTAAAGAGTTTGAAACAAATGGACAATGCTATAAAAATTGTCCACATAAAGGTGGTAACCCTTATTGAACAAGGGGATCAGCAAGTCAAAAACAAGTTTCCCGCTTGTCCCCAGAGAGTCAGTACAGCCAGGAGGATCCAGTTGACCATCTTTCCCCTCATATATACGAAAGGCAAATGTATAGCCACTTTCGCTCTCGCACAGTTTGTAGAATTTTACGCCATACCTAAAGCGCTTTGAGAGGATGTATTGTTTGAATCCTAATCTCCCTTTATATTTCATTAACAATTCATCAATAGATAAATTTTTTTGAGTAGTATAAACTTCAGTAAATTTGTGCTGAAGATGGTTTACCAGTGGGCGTATTTTATGAAGCCTATCATATTGGGGGTGATCTCTGGGGTGACAGAGCGTATAGTCGTTAGAATGTAAGTATCTCAGCAGCAGCTCATATCTTGGTCTAGGCATTGTTTGGGAGTATATAGGAGTCGAACAAATTGCATAGCTATCTGGATTGGTATCAATAAATTGGGTAGCATATAAATTAGTCTGGGGAGCAACCTCCTCCCAGATGGTATCCCCTAAAAATAGCTCCATATATTGCATAGGGGAGAAGTCATCCACATTGACATTAATGCCTGTGTTGGCACTAAAAGGGGGGGATTTGGGGCTCAGCTAACTGTGGAGAAACCCGTTCCTCCTCCACATTCGGCGTAGCAGAGAAAGCACAGCTTCTTTTTGCAGCCGGCTCACACACAGATGACATGTCACTAGATGTGTCAGAAAATTGACCTGGGTCAAAATCAGACGCAGGGTCAGTGGCGTCAGAGTCTGACTAACACAGAGTTACTAACACACAATTTTTTTTAAATTTTATACTAAAAACAGACTAAAACTTATAAAAACTGACTAAATGAGACTAAAGCTTCCGTTAGCAGCAATCTGTAAACTAACTCCTGCAAAAAGAATCAAACTGGAGATTTGGGGGAAGGATACTGACTAACAGAAATTTGCTGCTTTCAAAAAAAATTAAAAATAAAATAAAAATCAGTAACAAGTATTATAAAAATGTATTTTCTGTGTGGTAGACCTTAAAACATGCTCCAATACACAGTCCAGGTTTTGTAGGGCAATCGGGACAGTGCAAAGGGGTGTCTGTCCTTTTCCCTTTTTATAACAGACCCGGCAACGTTTCTGGGGATTTTTTTTTTTTTTTGGGTGTTGGCGGTATCTTAAAAATAAAATGTCTAGACTCCTCTTGCACCGTTGTTGGAACTTGACCATCTCCATAAATTATTGTGGAAATCAGCTTGAGCTGAAATTGGAGATAGGTGGTTCTTCCTTGATTCATTTTTTTTAAAAATGAATTATGTGTTGTTACTTGCAACAGGTAGATAGCCACCTTTTTATACCAGGATTTTGTCTTTCTTAAGCTGCATCAATCAACATCCCCCATATGCCTGTTATAAGCCCTGACGCAAACCGGTTTTGTCTGTACCCTGCCTCGGACAGTGACGTCTGACATGCCTTCGTTATGGATGGTTGTCAGCATGTGAACATCCTTCCTGTCCTTAAATTTTAGCGCAAGCAGTTCAGCTTTGCACAGAGCTTTGCATTCACCTTTTTTTAATTTAGCCTCTATGAGAGGTTTGGGGAAATCCTTGGCATTTCTTCTTACAGTGCTGCAGGCCAGTGTCTGCAAACTATAAAGAATTTTAAACAAGTGGACACTGCTGTAAAAATTGTCCACATAAAGGTGGTAACCCTTATTGAACAAGGGGATCAGTAGGTCCCAAACAAGTTTCCTACTTGTCCCCAGAGAGTCAGGACAGCCAGGAAGGTTCAGTTGAGCATCTTTCCCCTCGTATACACGAAAGGCAAATGTTTGTACACTTTAATGCCATACCTAGACCGCTTTGAGGGGATATACTGTTTGAACCCTAATCTCCTTTTATATTTCATAAGGGATTCATCAATAGATACATTTTGTTGGAGAGTATAAACTTCAGAAAATCTGTTCTGAAGATGGTCTACCAGTGGGCCTATTTTATGAAGCCTATCATATTGGGGGTGATATCTGGGGTGACAGAGCGTATTGTCGTTGGAATGTAAGTATCTCAGCAGCAGCTCATATCCCTGTCTAGGCATTGTTTGGGAGTATATAGGAGTCGAACAAATTGGGTTGGTGCTCCAGTAAGAGCGGATTGATGGCTTCTTTATTATCCACATGAGCATGGTAAGAGCCCAGAATGTTTTAAGTTCAGGGACATCTGTGGGATGCCAAGCATGCTCCCTGACTGTATAGCTACCTGGATTGGTCTCAAATTGGCTAGCGTATAAATTAGTCTGGGAAGCAATCTCCTCCCAGATGGTATCCCCTAAAAATAACTCCATATATTGTATAGGGGAGAAGTCAACCACATTCACATTGATGCCTGCGTTGGCACTAAAAAGGGGGGGATGTTGGGCTCAGCTGACTGTGGAGGTACCCAGTCCTCCTCCACATTCGGCGTAGCAGGGGAAGCACAGCTTCTTTTAGCAGCTGGCTCACACACAGATAACGTCACTAGACGTGCCGCTAAACTGACCTGGGTTAAAAATCGGACGCAGTGTCAGTGGTGTCAGAGTCTGACGCCAAGAAGGCATATGCCTATTCCAAGCTGTACATGCGCTGCATGTTTCACACTAACAGACTAAACAAAATACTAAACATAATTTTTTTTTTTTTTTTTACACCAAAACAGACTAAAACAGTAATCCCTAAACTAACTCCTCTAAGAAGAATCTAATGGAGATTTGGGGGAAGGAAACTGACTGACTAAGACAGTCTAAGACACAGATTTTTTAAAATAAAGTTAACCCTTAAGGTCAAAAAAAAAATACAGACAGTACAAACGTACTGTCTGTAACAGATCTAGCAGGGAAGGGGTTAAAACTGGATTTTTATTCACTGCTGATACTTTTTAATACTTTCTGAAACACCTGCTGCAACAAACTATCGATCTCTGTCTATCTCCCCTCACAAAACACTACAGAGTGGAGAGAGGCAGAGATCAGGGTCAAAGTGAGTGTTTGTAACACCCACTTTGACACCAGAAAAATTGTGAGCGACCGTGGATCGCTCACATGCCGCAATTGGCTGTTACTATCTGCCTGGGATGCCGGGCAGAGAGTAACAACGGGATTTCGGCGGAAGTGATCTCCGATCGCTCCCGCAGCCCGTTTTCCGTTAGGACGGTTCAGGAACGTCCTCGGTCGGCAACGCAAAAATGCTGAGGATGGTCCTGAACCGTCCTGAAGGGGTTAAACAACTTAACAGTTTTGTAGGGTATTGTATTTCTTATCTACAGAAAATTTAATAGCAGAGCTTGACAAATTCACGGTGACACAAATTGGAAAATTTACTCAATGACCAACAACCAGAAGCTGTAAATAAGTGGGCCATCTCTGCATGTTCTGTGGCAAAGACAGCTCCAGGGTTCCCTTGCACTTAAAGAACTTCTAACTACAATTGACAAGGCTACTTCATTTCAATAGAATAAAAGTGGTCCTATCCTTCCAACCCTACAACGTAAAAAAAAATAAAAAAAATTTAAATGTCTTGGATGTGCATCACGTAGCGAATACTCCTCTATAAGTAGCAATGGACTGGACAAATGCAGAGTTTGCTGTAAAAGTTAAGTAAAACACACAAGGGGGATGGACACCTATATAAACAGTGGCAGAGACAAAGTGTGAGGAATACATGTTTGTTATACTTTCTCTCCTCACCATCAACAGTTATTACTAACAGGACAATATGCATGAGGAGATTTGTGTATGTATATTATATGTATACACACATATGCATACATACACACTTATATACATACGCATGAATTCAATGGTTTTACTTATCAGGACATAATCATCTGTACCTTAACATGTCTTAAAAGTAGGTATACACAACCACAGATGACCACCACCACAACATATTACACTGTGTTATGATTTATCTATCAAGAATAAAGCCAAAATTAAGAATCCATGTGTGGAAAAACTGAGTACACCATATGATTCAATAGCTTGTAGAACCACAGCAATAACATGAAGTAATTGTTTGCTATATGACTTTCAGTCTCTCACGTTGTTGTAGAGCAGGGTTTCCCCAATTAATTTTTCCTGTGGAACCCTTTGACATACTATATGCAAAAATGTGTGTTTAGCTAGTTATGTGAATGCGTAACGGAGTATGGTTAGTTTGGTGGATAGGTATAACGGCTGATGTGATATGACGGTAAATGTAGTTAAAGTGCAACAATTTGCACATACTACGGAGTGCTAATGTAATGTTAGTTAAGTGTGTGCGGTTTGTTTTGTTTATTTTAACACTGCTCAATAAAAACTTGATAGCATGATGTGACTGATACTGTGAATCACAGGATCGCCAACCTTGGGCAACACCAAGACCGATACTTGCTGGTTTCCAGAGTGCACTGACGTCATTGTGCATGGCGCGCAGTGATGTCATGTGTTCCTGCAGCTGGAATATAGTGACTTACGGGTTTCAAGCAAGGAACACATGACATCACTGCGCGCCATGCACAATGACGTCAGTGCACTCTGGAAACCAGCAAGTATCGGTATCTGGAGTGAATAAAGGACAATTAGAAGATTATAAAAGGACTGGGTGGGGGTTTATTTACACTTAACAAAATTATAAATGCAATACTTTTGTTTTTGCCCCCATTTTTCAGGAGTTTAACTCAAAGATCTAAGACTTTTCCTATGAACAGAAATGGCCTATTTCTCTCAAATATTGTTCACAAATCTGTGTTATTGAGCACTTCTTTGCAGAGATAATCCATCCACCTCTAAGGTGTGGCATATCAAGATGCTGATTAGACAGCATGATTATTGCAAAGGTGTGCCTTAAGCTGGCTACAATCTAAATCAACTCTAAAATGTGCAGTTTTACAGTATTGGGGGAGGGGAGAAGTTTAAAAAAAAAAAAAATCAGTAACCGTTTGTCTCACACAGTGCAACACATCTCCTTCGCATGGAGTTGATCAGGTTGTTGATTGTGGCCTGTGGAATGTTGGTCCCTTCCTCTTCAATGGCTGTGCAAAGTTACTGGATATTGACAGGACCTGGAACACGCGGTCGTATACACCGATCCAGAGCATCCCAAACATGCTCAATGAGTGACATGTCCAGTGAGTATGCTAGCCATACAAGAACAGGAATGTTTTCAGCTCCAGGAATAGTGTACAGATCCTTGTAACATGAGGTGATGGTCGTGGATGAATGGCACAACAACAATGGGCCTCTGGATCTCATCACGGTATCTCTGTGCATTAAAAATGTCAATCAATAAAATGCATCTGTGTTCGCTGTCCATAACAAATGCCTGCCCATACCATAACCCACCGCCACCACGGGCCACTCAATCCACAACATTGACATCAGCAAACCGCTCAGCCACACGACGCTATACACGCTGTCTGCCATCTGCCTGTACAGTGAAAACTGGGATTCATCCGTGAAGAGGACACCTCTCCAAATTGCCAGACACCATCGAATGTGAGCATTTGCCCACACAAGTCGGTTATGATGACTAATTGCAGTCAGGTCGAGACCCCGATGACGACGACAAGCATGCAGATTAATTTCCCTGAGATGGTTTCTGACAGTTTGTACAGAAATTCTTTAGTTATGCAAACCGATTGTTGCAGCAGCTGTTCGGGTGGCTGGTCTCAGACGATCTTGGAGGTATAGATGCTGGATGTGGAGGTCCTGGGCTGGTGTGGCTACACGCGGTCTGTGGTTGTGAGGCTGGTTGGCTATACTGCCAAGTTCTCTGAAACGTCTTTGGAGAAGGCTTATGGTAGAGAAATTAACATTCAATTTACAGGCAACAGCTCTGGTGGACATTCCGACAGTCAGCACGACAACTGCACGCTGCCTTAAAACTTGCGACATCTGTCACATTGTGCTGTGTGATAAAACTGCACATTTTAGAGTGGCCTTTTATTTGGGCCAGCCTAAGGCACACCTTTGCAATAATCATGCTGTCTAATCAGCATCTTGATATGCCACACCTGTAAGGTGGATGGATTATCTCAGCAAAGGAGAAGTGCTCACTAACACAGATTTAGACAGATTTGTGAACAATATTTGAGAGAAATAGTCCTTTTGTATACATGGAAAAAGTCTTAGATCTTTGAGTTCAACTCATGAAAAATGGGGGCAAAAACACAAGTACTGCATTTTGAGTTTTGTTCAGTGTATATCTCCTTGTTTACGGTTATTGGTGAAAGTCAAGTCTCTGAACTGGACGAAACGCATTCGATGACTACTACTTTACTAGTAGGTGACATTACTACAACTGCTGCTCTTAATGTAAGTTTAATAAATAGTTTTATACCACATTGCCAATTTGCACTACAATTTCCATTTTCTTTTTAACCCCTTAAGGACACATGACATGTCATGATTCCCTTTTATTCCAGAAGCTTGGTCCTTAAGGGGTTAAAGGACCACTATTGTGCCAGGAAAACGAGTTTGGCACTATAGGGTCATTAGGGCCCCCTTCCCGCTGGGCTGAAGGAGTTGAAACCCCTTCAACCACTTACCTTTCTCCAGCGCCAGGCTCCCTCTGTGCTGGGGAACTCTCCACCCCCTGCTGACGCCAGATCTACACACATTCAAACTGCCCATAGGAAAGCATTACTCAATGCTCTCCTATGGACGTCCAGCGTCTTTTCACTGTGATTTTCACAGTGAGAATCGCGGAAGCGCCTCTAGCGGTTGTCAGTGAGACAGCCACTATAGGCTGGATTAACCCTCAGTGAAACAGGTTTTCTGAAACTGCTATGTCTTCAGCTGCAGGGTTAAAACTAGAGCGACCTGGCACCCATACCACTTCATTGAGCTGAAGTGGTCTGGGTGTCTATAATAGTCCTTTAAATGGATGATGACATACAAACACTAAAGATATATGGTGATCTGGAAAAGGAAGACCTTAACTCTTTGATGGGAGCTTTGATAAAAGGTACTATAACTACTGCAACATTGTGAGTGGCCAATTTGAGCATTTTTTTTTTGGTTTAAAAACAGTTACACACTATGGTGTTGTATATTCTGGTTTGACTGTTTTAGCAGAACAACCCCCTACTTTTGTACATCTTTGTTTTTGAAGAAAAGAAGAAGTCTTTGGGGCAACATAACGTCTCCTACTGCAGGGAAGTTATTTTCTATAGTTTTCACTGTAAGAACTTTGGTTGTGGACACATTGTCTTGCATTCACCCTTCTAGTTGGCCTAAGATTAAAGGGACACTATAGTCACCAAAACAACTTTAGCTTAATGAACCAGTTTTGGTATAAAGATGATGGCCCTGCAGTGTCACTGCTAAATTCTCTGACATTTAGGGGTTAAATAACTTTGTTTATGCATTCTAGTCACACCTCATGGCATGTGACTTGCACAGCCTTCCTAAACACTTCATGTAAAGAGTGATCTAAGGTTTATACTTCCTTCATTGTAAATTCTGTTTACTTAAGAATTTTTTTTATTTTTTATTTTTTATCTCCTGCACGGTTAATAGCTTGCTATACCCTTTAGGAGCCCCCTGTATTTAATTCAATTTCAATTTATAGAGCAGGAGACTTAAAGTAAGTTACATCTGATTGAAAATGAAACCATTTTTTTTTTCCCATACAGGCTGTGTGCGTAACAGACAATGGGAGGTGTGGCAGGGGCTGCATAGACAGAAACAAAAGTGATTTAACTCCTAAATGGTAGTGAATTGAGCAGTAAAACTTCAGATGCATGACATATACACCAGAACGGCTTCATTAAGCTAAAGTTGTTTTGGTGACTATAATGTCCGTTTAAAGGAAGACAGAGTCATGCCATCATACATTCGTGGTTGGCACCCTTCATTCAGTCCCTCTACTGTCCAGAGAGGTGCTAGGAATTGAGTGTTTATGTATTTGTGTGCATATATGTGATTAGCCTTCAATTATGAAAATGTTTTAATTTAAATGAAGGTGTGTGTAGAAGCTTCTGCCAGGAAGAATACATCTAACTAATCTATGAAACCAAAACATACATGTGCTCATCATCACCCAAGATTAAAATACTTCTAACATTAATATTACAGGAACACCAATGTTACTCAGACCAAAGTTACTCATCTTGCATCAGGGCAGGAGGTGAAGAGAAGAGCATCACTGAAGGAGCCTCAGTGCTGAGTAAAACATTTATTGGAAGAAAAAAAATAATATAAATATTATATATATATATGAGGTAGGGGCTGAATACAACTAGTGATGGGGACACAATAGCATTAGTGATACAGGTTTATATTTTAATGCTATAGTGTTCTTTTAAAAATTAATAGAGAATATATTTGGGAAAAGCAAGTCATATTGGGATTTCAGGGACACTCGGCATGCAGTCTTGTTGTTCATTATGGCGTTTCCTGAACCTGCTGATTGCATTATTTTTTATTCCCAAAACATATGCTTCATAGTGATGTAGTCTCAGACTTTGTAAACTGATTTATTGGGGACACCGCCTGCAACAATGGTCACTTCTACAAGACTGTATGCTGTGGCAGAGTAGAAACTGCAGACGTCAGTGCTTCTGCCACTGCATGACATCTCTGTACTTTGCTTGAAGCAAAAAGAGCAGATCGTACTGAGAACACAGCACCACCACAACACCAGGGCAAACTTGAAACATAAATAGGATGACAGATTATGAGGGAGTAATTGGTTAAACCAAGATACATGATATGGGGGTTCATTGAGGAGATATAAAAGGAAGGAGATTTTAAAAAAAAAATAAAAAAAATGGAAATATGTCCATGTAGGTGTGTGTCAGCATCTATGTGTATATGTGTCACTGATTATGACTGTATACAATGAGGTGTCAAAATTTGGATATTTTTTTCATGAAGTGTCTCTTAAAACAAAACATACATATAAACATTTAAAAGAGACAGTCCTTTTACTTATTAAAAGTAAAAGCATGCATCTTAATATGGTAATATAATTGAAACATTTAGCTTTTTTGTAATGTCCTATACCTAACCACTTCAATATATATTTCAATGTAGGGCAATAACTGCTTGATCCAAGGATAAATCTGACTGCCATTCTGGGGTCAAGAGGGAATTTTTTCCTAGCTTGTTGCAAAATTGTGCTTCAAACTGGGTTTTTTGCCTTCTTTTGGATCAACAGCAAAAAACAAACGTGAGGAAGGCTGAACTTGATGGACGCAAGTCTCTTTTCAGCTATGTAACTATGTAACTAAAAAAAATATATGATATATTTATTTCATGTGTATACACACTATTAAGGTACAACATTAAAACCATCCAATATCGTCTAGGTCCCCCTTTTGCTGCCAAATCAGCTCTTAAAGGGACACTAAAGTCACCCAGACCACTTCAGCTCAATGAAGTGGTCTGGGTGCCAGGTCCCCCAGGTTTTAACCCTTCAGATGAAAACATAGTTTTAGAAAAACTGCTATTTTACATTGCAGGGTTAATCCAACCTCTAGCTTCTTGAAAAATCACACATTCTGGGGTTGGGGGGACTCAATGTGCCTTATACTTATCACAAAAATTTAGCACAACTTAAAGGAACACTCCAAGCAACATAACCACTAAAGCCAGCGGTAGTGGTTATGTTGCCAGGAGTTTCCCAGAGTCCTCTCAATGTAAGTAACCAAATATTCTGACAACTTACCTGGGCTCCGCAGCCTCCTTTGCAGACGGCATCTTCTGCACTGAGCAAAGCCCTAAAGCTGCAAAACATATATGATGTGGTCCATGCAAGTATAGAAATGGTAACATTTTAACAATTTAGTAGCAAACTGTACAACAAGAGTTCCTACCATATGTTATAGTAGTTGCATTGGTCTGTTCTTATTGTGTTTGTCTTTTTCCCCAATTGTACAGCAATGCGGAATTTGTTAGCGCTTTATAAATGCCAGTGCCAGTAGTAGTAGTAGTAGTAGTAGTAGTAGTAGTAGTAGTAGTAATAATAATAATAATAATAATAAAGACAAACGTGAAGGACTCTCCATAAGTAAACAATTATTTGGTATCCCAAGTCCCTACGTGTACAGTTTACTTTAGTTATGGTTAGCCAATATACAATAACCCCTTCCCGACCGAGGACGGTTCAGGACCGTCATCGACATTTTTGCTTTGCCGACCGATGACGGTCCTGAACCGTCCTAACGGTCTTAGTTACTTACCTGATCGCCGTCGTTCCCCCGGCGGCGATCAGTGTTGCTCCGGTTGTGGGGAGACTGCCTGCAGCCCAGACAGTCTCCCCACACTAAATTAGGACCCCTGTGGCCATGTGATCGCTTAACACAGCGATCACATGGTCACAATAGGTGTCCTAGTGTCTGCCTGCAGGGGGACTGTCTGTGCTGACAGGCAGTCTCCCTGCTAGTGTAAAATCAAAAAATAAAATAAAGTTAGTGTTAATTAAAAAAATAATAATTATATATGTGTATATATGATATATAGACATATATTATATCTAAATATATGTCTATATATCATATATAATGCCATACTAAGTGTATTTTTATATTAATATGTACTTATATTAATATAAAAATACACTTATAATTAAATTACACACGTATATATAAAATATATATAATAACTATATATTGTATATATATTATAAAATATAAATAATAAGTAATTTAAATTAAATAATTTTTTTTAAATAATAAAAATTTTAAAAAAAAATTATATATCTATATGAAATTTTATTATAACTGTATTTTAAAATTAATATATATATATTTATATCAAAATACACTTAGAATGAATTTGTATATATATCTATGTATATATAAATAAATAAAAATAATACGAAATATACATAGGTCCATATACAAAATTACATAATTATATAAATATACATGTAGACTTAAACTATATAAATATGCATATATATTTAAATTCTACGTGTGTATTTATGTAATATTTTTACATAATTCAGTAATTTTATTGATTGCAATTTGAGGGACCTGCCTGCCAACCCAGGCCGAAATTCCAGAGAATTTAATTTGCTAGCATTGTATTTTACCCTGTAACGTTCTACGACACCCTAAAACCTGTACATGGGGGGTACTGTTTTACTCGGGAGACTTCGCTGAACACAAATATTAGTGATTCAAACAGTAAAACATATCACAGCGATGATATTGTCAGTGAAAGTTACTTTTTTTGCATTTTTCACACACAAACAGCACTTTTACTGATGATATAATTGTTGTGATACGTTTTCCAGTTTTTAAACACTAATATTTATGTTCAGCGATGTCTCCCGAGTAAAACAGTACCCCCCATGTACAGGTTTTATAGCATTTTTGAAAGTTACAAGGTCAAATATATGGGTCAAATATTTTTACATTGAAAATGGCCAGGTTGGTTACGTTGCCTTTGAGAGCGTATGGTAGCCCAGGAATGAGAATTACCCCCATGATGGCATACCATTTGCAAAAGAAGACAACCCAAGGTATTGCAAATGGGGTATGTCCAGTCCTTTTTAGTAACCACTTGGTCACAAACACTGGCCAAAATTAGCGTTCAATTTAGTTTTTTTTACTTTTTTCACACACAAACAAATATGAATGCTTACTTTGGTCCAGTGTTTTCGACTAAGTGGCTACTAAAAAAGACTGGACATACCCCATATTGAATACCCTGGGTTGTCTACTTTAAAAAAAATATGTACATGTGGGGTGTTATTCAGAGATTTATGACAGATAATAGTGTTACAATGTCACTATTGATACATTTTTAAAATGTATGTTTTGAAACCGCAATATCCTACTTGTACCTATAGCCCTATAACATGCAAAAAAAAGCAAAAAAGCACGTAAACACTGGGTATTTTTAAACTCAGGACAAAATTTTGAATCTATTTAGCAGTTTTTTTCATTCGCTTTTGTAGATGAGTAAAAGATTTTTCAAGTAAAAGTAAAAAAACATGTATTTTTTTCAATTTTTCATCATTTTTTTTTTTTTAAATTAAAATACATGAGATTATATAAATAATGGTATTTAAAGAAAGCCCATTTTGTCCTGAAAAAAACAATATATAATTTGTATGGGAACAGTAAATGAGAAAGCGGAAAATTACAGACAAACACAAACACCACAAAAGTGTAAAAATAGGCCTGGTCGCAAATGTACAACATCGCAAAAACAGTCCAGTCCTTAAGGGGTTAAACACATGTCCAAACACTTGTACCTAAAAAATAAGTAGTAGTAAGTGTCCTAATTTAGGATATTCATTTTTTTGGCACTTAATCCTATCGTGACCCTTTGACCTTTAAGGGCATGGACATTCTATGGTGCTGAAAACTAAACTACAAACTTCTGTGAAATACAACAAAGTCAATTCTAATAGATCATTAAGGTTTTTTCTTTATGAAATACACCTTTTGCTTTAAAATGATAATTCTGACTAAACTTACTATAATTTGGTTACACGAAAATAATATTGAACTTTTGTGTTTACGGTTTTAACTTCATTTAAGAAACACTAATAATAACTATTTTTTATTTTCAGTCCATTGTAGTTGGAAAGAAAGCAATTAATCTTTCCTGTATGTAATACAGCACAAAGTCATACTTCTCACCTCAGTCCGATCCAACCATGATGAGTTCATCACGTAGGATTTTCGCTGTCCAATTCAATGCTTCAAGAAGCATTGAGGATTTTTCGTGTGGGTGCGCACACACCAATTACCGTACTCTGCTATTTAAATGCTTCTTAAAACATGGCATCTTGTCCATGACGCCGCCAAACATTAAGTTCTTTGAAAAATCAGCACCTTTAGTTGTTGCTCATCTAAAAGCCAATAGAGGTATGCTTTCAGCCAAATGTAAAAACTTAATGGAAATGATTAATATGGTTATTGTCACCCGTGCTTCTTAATCAAGTTAGATTGTTAGGCCCCCATTGAAAAGAAAAAAAAAAAAAGAAATAAAATACACTGCAGCCTGATTCACCTTTGCTGAAGTCATCAAGTTTGATGAGTTTTATCGAATCAAATGCTTCTTCTAGAGAAAAATTGCAGACAAACACATGTAAAGCCATTACCAAAATTCACCAATCCAATGCTTCTCTATAAGAAGCACTGATCACAGTGCTTTGCTATGAGAAGTATTAGGAGTTAGGCCTTGACATGTTACATGATGATTCCAAATGCGGAGTCCTTTGAAAATCAAGTATCTGAAATAGGAAGCAGCACAGAGGCCGTCTGCTTGACAGACACTAGAGGTGTGTTTTCAGTAAAACACTTCAACATGTTACATTGTCAGAGAAGTTATTAAGATGTAGTGCTTTTTGTCCTTTGAATTTATTTTACAGCTAGACAATTTTTCTTCATTTTGCTAGTCTATTTTCAATTCAAAATAATTGAAGGCATAAACTGGAAATCTCTACTAATGCCAGGAAGTTAAGCAGATTCTGCCTCAAAGGCACCTTAATAGAGTTCTAACAAAGAAAAACTGCAAAAGGGTAAACCAGGAATGATTAAACTCTTGCTTTGAAACCATCTCTACTCCGATGCTTTCTCTTTACCCCCATTGTTATCCTTGTAGTAGTCTTAGCGAGTTACATTTTTAATGGGGGATTTATGACCTAATTTACATTCAAAAATTAATAAAGACAAGAAGAAGACCATACGGATATGAGCCTACAATCTATGAGCATCTGAATAAAGAAAAGCATCTCACAGATTAAACTCATACCAGTCTAAATATACCATAGGTTTAATTAATTACAAACTAGCAAACAGGTCTCAAACAAACATATACAATAAACACAAATAAACCATTAGACAGCAATGCTACAACCCATGAGAAATTAACTTTTCTTCCCAAAACAAGTTTTACAGCCACTGAGAGCTAAAATATATTTGCAGAAATCACTTGCAGATTTCTGTCAGGAGGGATACAGAACCTAAAAAACATATTGAACATAAAGATGATTTTTAAGTTAACATGTTTATTTTCCCTGATATGGCAGCGATCTTACAGAGGAAGTGCTATGTAGTCATTATAGCTATATAAAGATACAGAAACAGCAGGGGGCTAAAGAGATCAACTCAGACCAATACTCCGTGATCCATGCAGCTCAAATGATGACACTAGGAAGAAGAGAAAAATGTAGAGCCATTCTAGAAAGTCCTCCAGTATATTCAATTAATAGCTGTACCAGACCACTTTCTATTTTAATGTCTTATAACGATTTCTAATACCTTAATAAATATTATTTGTCTCATATAGGTTTGCAAAATTTCATCAAAACATACAATAAATAAAACGTTTCCTTTTGTTCCTATTGCCACTTGTGGACATTGCAGTATATCATGAGATACAATGTTCAATTTCTACCCACTCAACATTTCCAAAGTGGCATTTTTGTCTTTTAAAATTAATCTGTCAAAGAAATATGACAGAATTGCATTTTTGATCTCTACACTGTACCTGCCAAACTACCAACTTAATGTCTAGATCAAACATTAAGTGTAATGCTTTTTGCATTATCAGCAGAGAGATGTAAACACTTCTATGTTGCTGAATACAGAATTTCACTGGAAAGCGATACACTGTAGGAGTAAACAAGCCCTATCCACAAGTCCAAAACAACAACATTTTCCCAGCATCATTTTCTTTTATACAAACACTTTTTTTCTAATGTGAACAGCTATGAATTTAGCAATTTGATATTCAAAAATCACAACAACAAAAAAGCTGAACGGAAAAATTCACCATCTACGTAAGTGTCTCAACTTGGCTATATTAGCCTCAATTTTGCCTTTCAGACTTTAGTTCATTACAAATCGACATTTTTTTTGATTGTTTAAAAAAGTTTTATCCCCAAAATGACACAAACGCTTTATGACACACTGAGGATTTACCATATTAGCAGTTACTTAATAGAAGCTCCTAATTTTATCAACCATAGAGAGATAAAAATATATTATACCAAAAAAATAAGATTATTATGCTGATTTTTAATCTTTTAATGGGCAAAATCCATCAAGTTGCAATATTATGGACCTGCAAGATGGCATGGATGTCATCATGCATGAAGCATGAGTCTGTTGATTATGTTAAATAATCCATGACTTAATAAAAAGAGCATTTTATACTAGTTTACTACACACACCTACGTGTTGTGTTCCAAAGGTAAAAAATACATTCCTATTACTGTGTTCAGCATAGAAGTATTATAAACTAGTACCAAATATTAGAATAAAATATTGTGAGATTAAATATATTCCAATTGAAGTATTGACCAATGTAGATCTCACTACTATTTACAGAAGCCTTGTAAACAAAATATCTATAAATGATAGTCAAGTTCATGTAGATTTTATTCCTTTTTTCTGTGCAAAGCAGTACAGTTATGTATTAATTACATATCAGCCATCACCCATCTAAAATATTGGAATCTAAGGCTTACCATGCATTACTATTATAACATTTCTCATAACCGGCTGCGCCCACTGCACGGCAACCTGAGGGGCGCCGTCTGCGCCCATTGCACGACAGTGATGGATAGAAATAAGTGTATGTAAAATGACTATTTGTCATATGCACCTGTGCTCATGCCTTACTCAAAATGGCCGCTAGAGAACCCCTTCCCATCGACCAAAACCCTCATGTAAATAGATGGCGTCTCCATCCGGAGCTACACCCAAGATGATGACGACGACGACGACGACGACGACGACATCAACACCCTGGAGGAAGTACATCAAGATTAAACACTTAACACATTAAAAGTTTACTCCTCATATTTGCACACAATGCATTCCTTTGACTTTATAAGGGGCTATGCCGCCCCCCAAATAAGCAAAATCAAAGTTTTCATTTATTTAAACTTGTTCAGTGTGATTTCTTCAGCGTAAAAATCTGGACAGGAGGCAGATACTCAGGCAGAGTCCAAAACACAGCAACCTGAGGGGCGCCGGCTGCACATCACCAGCAAAGGGCATTGTAATAGGCACAGACAACGCCCTCTGCAGAGTACTCAAGGGAGCATACCAAGAACACAGTCAAGGACTTAAAGGACCACTATAGTCACCCAGACCACTTCAGCTCAATGAAGTCGACTGGGTGCCAGGTCCCCCAGGTCTTAACCCTTCAGATGAGAAACTGCTATGTTTACATTGAAAGGTTAATCCAGCCTCTAGTGGCTGTCTTCCTGACAGCCGCTAGAGGCGATTCCGCAACGCTCAATGCAAAAATCTCAAAAAAAATATTGAGTAATGCTTTCCTATGGGCAGTTTGAATGCGCTCGTGGCTCTGGCCACTCATGCGCATTCGGCGCCACTCGGTAGCTGTCGTCGGAGGGGGAGGAGAGGTCACCAGCGCCGAGGGAGCCCAGCGCTGGATTAAGGTAAGTGGCTGAAAGGGGGCCCTGAGGAATATAAAGTGCCGCTCTTTAGTGGTCCTTTAATCACAGGCAGACAGTAAGTGCAATGCTTTCTCTTACGCACTAACAGTACCCAGCATTAGGCACACTCTTAACCAAAGACAACACCCAGCAGATGTAAAGAAAATACCATTTGGAGGGGTATCATGGGCAAGAACAGCACCCAGTTCAGAGCACTTTCATGAGCACAAATAGAACACAGGCTAGGCTATAGAGCACCCTCACTGGCACAGACAACACCCATTGCAGAGCACCCTCACTGGCATAGACAACACCAAGTGCAGGGCACCCTGATGGGCAAATACATTACTCATTGCAGGGCACCCAAATGGGCACAGACATCACCCAGTGCAATGTATTCCTGTGCACAGACAGTCAGAGAATAAACAAAAAAAGAAAAAAATGCCATTCCACCTGTGTATGATTTACTGAGAAGATTGTAGGTTAAAAAGTAACTTTTAATAAATAAATCTAAAATAAAAATATAAATATAAAAAAGAAAAAATATATATACTATGAACAGCAGGAGTAAATGGAGACTATACAGCGAGTAAAAAACTGTGACTACTTATACAAGCTGTAAAAGTGTATACATAACAACACTAATGCTGAAGCAATACTGTTTAGCTACAATATAACAGTGTATTCCCAAGTAATAGAAGTGATACTATATTATATATCACTAATAGCTGTAACAAGAGGGGGGGAGATAAGACAACTGCTAAACCAGTGCTGTCAATAGTTAAAAGATATGGATAAGTAAATCCCTACATGATAGTACAACTAACGACATGGGTTAACTCCACATACAATAATTGATAATGTTCTATGGTGCTTAACCTCGGAAAGATCAAAGATAATGGTTCAGCTAAGACAGATTTCTGACAGACGGTGATTAGCCAGTTAAATATCACAAAAGCTGCCTAGATCATAGCAGCATTTTGATAATAAATTAAAGGTTGCTGTCAAGCAGTAAAGTATAAAATAAGGGGTTGCTGACCTGGCTCAGTTTTTTCTGCAAGATACCTAGCAGTATATTCTAGTGTAACAACAGCTGCCTGCACTGAATGATGTTAACTTATGCTTGACCACAGTGGAGCACCAAGTAGTAGCTCACCTGTGAAGGACTGCTGACAGGCAGCAGTTAACCGGTTAAAAATCACACAAGTTGCCTAAATGCTAGCTGCATCTAAATAATAGGTCTAAGTATAAAGAAAAAGTTACAAACAGTTTTTAAACAGGTTGTCTAGGTAGTAGAAAATATACCGGTTAAAAGTCACGCAAGTTGCCTAAGTGCTAGCTGCATCTAAATAATAGGTCAAAGTATAAAAAGAGGGTTTACAAACAGTTTTTTTTAACAGGTTGCCTAGGTAGTAGAAAATATACAGACAGTGACAGAGGAAGGCATATAGAATAAAGGCATATAGAATAAAGATTCCTGAGTCTTGTGACTTCAAGGGCACCCCTTAGTAAAATGCCTGGTCTTATCAATCTCCCCCCATAAACATAATAAAGGGAAAAGAAAGAGAAATAAAGTATGTACAGAGTACACAAAATTAGTGTTAAGAGTCTCCAATATGCACTCCTGAGATGCTGGACATGAATGAACTTGATGTCGGTAATTTAGCAATAGATAAGCAGAGAGTTAGGTGCCGACACCAATAATGTGTCAGTAAGTGTCCAGAGCCCCTGACGTGCACGTTTCGCCAGTGAAGCTCATCAGAGGGGAACCAGATGCTGGCAAAAATAGGAGTATTTAAATCATAAGCTCTCAATTGATTGGAGGATTTTCAGGATTCTGACCAATGGTAGCTTGGGGAGGGAATCTCAACCATTAAGAAATAATTGACTAATTAACCCTATGTTGACCTGAATCTTATGGGTTTTTTATTGAATGTTAAAAAGATTGATTATAAAAAAGAAAAGAAAAAGTGGAAAAGTGTAAGTAACAGTGGTTCTCAAAATGACAATAATGTCATTATTTTAACTTATATGTGATTAATAATAGTGACATAGTTAGTTGAACGAACATAGCAACGTTTATCTGCTAAACTATTTACTGATTAGTGCAGAATATATTAGTGGATTGCTAAACTTGTTGGCTAAAATGTAACAGTAATGAAAGTTTTTAGGATTTTAAGATTTTAGGAAAGAGAATATTTGTAATAGACCTAAATTAATATTGATAAATAATTAAGCATTTATTTGTGAATGAAGGGGGTAAAATTAAATTCTTCATTTAGTCCTAAGGGGAATAAGGTCTTACATTCATGTATCCATCTGGATTCTTTCCTCAATAGGGTGAGATTAAAATTACCCTTTCTAGTGTTCAGGTGGATACGTTCTAAAACCTGAAATGTAAGATGAGATGCATCTGAGTTATGGAAGTTCCTTATGTGATTGGAGACAGGAGTAGAAATGTTTAGGTTTGAGACGGAATTCACATTTTGTAGGATTCTCCTTCTCAATTCTTGGAAGGTTTTTCCTATATATTGTAGTTTACAGCTACAAGTAATGATGTAAACTACTTTTGTGGTGCTGCAATTAACAAAATCATTAATCGGATATGTTTTCTGCGTATTGGTGCATAAGACTGATTTTGAAGGTTTAATAAACCTACATGCCTTACATTTCCCACATCTAAAATGCACAGACAGCACCCATTGCAAGACACCCTCATTGGCACAGACAGTGCTTGGTGCAGGACAGCACCCAATGCAGGGTATTCTTTGGCAGAGTAGCATTCATTGGAGGCACCCTGATGGGCATGCAGAGCACCCAATGCAAGTATCAAAGTTTTCCTCTGCACACACAGCACCCAATGCAGGGCTCCCCCGTGGACACACACACACACAGCGCCCAATGCAGGGCGCCCCCGTGGAGACACACACACACACAGCGCCCAATGCAGGGCGCCCCCGTGGAGACACACACACACACAGCGCCCAATGCAGGGCGCCCCCGTGGAGACACACACACACACAGCGCCCAATGCAGGGCGCCCCCGTGGGGACACACAGCACCCAATGCAGGGCTCCCCCGTGGGGACACACAGCACCCAATGCAGGGCTCCCCCGTGGGGACACACAGCACCCAATGCAGGGCTCCCCCGTGGGGACACACAGCACCCAATGCAGGGCTCCCCCGTGGGGACACACAGCACCCAATGCAGGGCTCCCCCGTGGACACACACACACACAGCGCCCAATGCAGGGCGCCCCCGTGGAGACACACACACACACAGCGCCCAATGCAGGGCGCCCCCGTGGAGACACACACACACACAGCACCCAATGCAGGGCTCCCCCGTGGGTACACACAGCACCCAATGCAGGGCTCCCCCGTGGGGACACACAGCACCCAATGCAGGGCTCCCCCGTGGGGACACACAGCACCCAATGCAGGGCTCACTGAGGGTGGGGGCTCTCACACATTATTCCAGACACAGGGAGGCGGATAACGATTACAGTGTTGCGGTGAACACAGGGCCCGACTCTCACCTTCTATTAAACGGCTCTCTCCACTGCCCGCCATCTTTCCAGCTCACTCCATGACCGACAGACTTCGGGAGCCCCGGCCTGGGGGAGGGGGGCGGGCAGCAGGGGCTCAGTCAAACTCCGGCTCCGGACAAGAGACCAGGCCGCAGAGAGGGCGGCTATGGAGACATGGAAGGAATGAGCTAGGCCCGAGCCGGGAGAGGAAGCTGGAGGCCGGAGCTGGGGTTAGAAGAGGAGGAGCCTGTGAGCCCGGGCGGGCGGGGGAGCGGGGATTCCGAGACTAGACAGTGACAGACACACTGTATTCACTGCCGGTCTGTCACACGGTGTGCTCTGCTCTGCTATGCTCTGCTCTGCACAGTGTACACTGCCAGGACGCCCAGTGCAGCGCCACCTGCTCCCTGTTGTGTTTATAGTCTGTGATGGTAAACAATAACATGGAGGGAGGAGGGGGGCTCTGGTATAAGGTGACAGCCTGCTAGTAACACTCAGTACAAAGCAGCCAGGCACTGTGCTCAGACACCACACTGTAACTAGGCTGTAACCTGGGACATCATCCCCTGCTCCTGGTACTATAGAGACCCTTCAATGATGAGGCCGTGATTGCCCCTTGTTTAGCACATTGTCCCACAATATAACATTTTTGCTTTAAAGCGGCACTGTCATGCCGAACTTACCTTTCCTCAATCTCTTCCTCTTCTCCCCCTCTCTCAGGATCTGTTATTCTTTTCTTCCTGTCTTCTTTAGTTTTCTTTAAAGTCATAAGACAAAGTAGGGACTCTTTGCCTTATGGAGGTTTCCTATGCTTGACCAGCTCTGACCAGCGGAGGAGCAAAGTGTGCTTCATTTCCGCTGGTCAGAGCAATTTTCCCATAATTCTTACCCTTCCTCAGTGTTCCCGCGATGCTTCCTGTCATTTTACACGAAACTGACGAATTGCGTTCTAACTGAATGACAACAGTATGTTCGTTTCTTTTAGAACTCAATTCGGCACATTGTTCAGATCGCAATTTCATTCGAATGAATGAAACTCCGATCCTATTCTTGCTGTGTGGCTGCATCTTGCAGCCGCTTAGTAGATAACTCTCTAATTCCCACGGTATCAGGAAGCTATCTACTAAAAGGCTGAAAGACCTAAATTGGTCTTTCAGACACATTTACTAATACTGAGTAAAGGTTACTTAGTATTAGTAAATGATCTGCCCCTACTCGCTATACCGCGAGTAGGGGCATGTCTGGTAAACAGTGAGCGGCTGCTCACTATAAAAAAAAACAAAAAACTAATGGCCCCCACCCCTAAACGACAGGTGGGGGCCCTAAAGTAAAATAAGGGGGGAGACCTAATGTCCACACATATACACACACACACTGCCCACTCCACACACACACACACATTGCCCCACACATACATACACTGCCCACCACACACATCGTACACATACACACACACTGCCCCCACACACACCATGCACATTCAAACATTGCCCCCACACAGTGCTCCCCACCACTTCATAAGCCCCCCAGGTTTCCCCTTACTCAATATGACCCCCATAATAGCATAAGGGAGATTAAAATCTCCCCAATGCCCCTACTCCTATGCCCTATGACAGCCCCATTTTCCAGCAGACCTCAGGTAAGTTGTCAAACTGTTCTTAAACAGTTTGACTACTTACTCTGGGAGGGGGTCCCGGCACTATTGGCACCATAACCACTACACTGAGCTGTAGTGTTTATTGTGTCTGGATTATTTATTTAAATAATCTACAAGTGCCCCTCCCGAGATCAGGCTCTGGATCCGCCACTGCTCCAGGCAGATGTCGCACAGCTCCGAACCTCCCTCACAGGCCTGGTGAGCCACATCGACGTGGTAGAAGCAACTTCCTCGCGCCAAACGCAAGACATCAAGGAGCTCCGGCAAGAAATGCAGGCACTCAAACAGCAACAAGCCAGGACGGAGCAACACTTCGCAACACTGCCCCCATACACACACACTGTCCCACATACACACACTGCCCCACATACACACACACTGCCCCCACACACACATTGCCCCACACACATATACACTGCCCCCATACACACATTGCCCTACACATACACTGCCCCCCATACACACATTGCCCTACAAATACACTGCCCGCCCATCCACGCATTGCCCTACACATACACTGCCCCCCATACACACATACACTGCAACTGTCACACACACATACTGACCCACACATTCTCTCCCCAAGAAGGACATTACACCTGCTAAGGTTCGCAGTTATGTTTTTTGCTTTTTTAAATTTTTATTTTTTCTTTAATAGTTCCTTTTTTACATCTAGTGGTCAGCGACCTTTTATATCAGTCAGCTGCCAAACTCATGCCAGTCCTGATGCTGAACTCACCTGCTACACCTGAGCACAAGCCCTACACCTTGGGACTCTAGGTCCACTAGCCACCACTCCACGCATCACGTTAAACCTGCAGGTCGGAGTTCACTCTGCACCTACCGACTGCAAATGTTTAGTGTTATATGTGTTTTTATTAGACTCTTTGTTCTCCACTTACACCACATTATTGAAACTCACAACTTTCAACACGATACACTAGGCCCAACTGACACGCAGGAGTCTCTCTCTCCCCCCTTCCACCTGTAGGAAACAGGAAGACTAACCCCCGGACAAACAGGGACCACAGAGATACAGTAAATTAAATGATGACAGTACGATTAGAACCAAGACTACGCCAAAATACTCAGGTAGCCGCGACTATTGCTCAGGGACAAACTAAGACGCCACCCCAACACACTCCCCTGACAAGGGGACATTTGAGCGACGAGCCTCCACTAACCATAAGCCTATATAGTATCCCAAGGGCTCGACGACAAGTGACGAACACACAAGAGACCTTACCTGACCTGACTCCAACTACCATCACTCAATATAGATCAAGACACAAAAATAAAAACCCCTACCCTCAAGCAAAGACCACACACAACAGCACACAACAGCACACAACGAGCTATGTATACCACGAATGTACTGCAATGTCTGTTTATTCTGTTTGTTCATGATTAAATTGACCCACCCATGCTTGTGAGCAGGGTACAAAATAAATAAAAAAAATAAAAAATACACTTAGAGTAAAATTACACACGTAATAATATATAATAACTGATGTGGAAATCAATCAATCAATAAATTGATCATCTTGTTTATCTGTCCCTAGCCAAATTAAAGAAATAATGCGTGCACACTCCTGAAGTAATTCACACCAGACACAAGTTTCGGGTTAATGAAAAACTTGAGGAATGTTTATTCAGGGGGGACGACATGTCCCTTATAAAGCAAAATTACATCATAAGCATTGTCAGAGATAACACGAAATAATACATCAATAATTGATTAGGTGTTAAGTGGTTCATTTAATGCTCTGCTTACTGAGGGTGATGTTACCGGCATCTTAGAGGTCTCCCCCAGATTCCAGCGCCATCTTGTTAATGAGGGTGTTAGTCAATGTTAAAGGGGAAACTCCCTAGCGGCCATTTTAGGTAAATCACATAGAAAGTTGAATAATGCTGATTGTAGTTGTGTTGAGTAAATAGGCATTTTACTAATATAAATTGGGTTAATATTTTTGTCCACAACAGTCCCCCCTTAAAATGACTATTTACGAAAAGAATGAAGGAAAATACAGCCAACTACTAGCTAGCTAACCCTAATAATGTCCCTAATTTGGTAACAGCTCATCAGTCTTAACAGGCCTCGAACACTTCACTGCGCAGGTATCCCGCAGTGGCTAACCCACTACATCTCCTGCATCAGACTTTTGCCCATAGAGACAGATGCTATCCCTATACTGTCCCTATAAAGTGGTAGTAGTTGTTGTCTGTTTGAAATGGTGGGACTGAAGTGGTGTGTGTGGAGTGTCACAGTCTATAACATCAGCATCTTGGTGTAAGTATATGGGTGTAGTGCAGTCAATGGTCTGGTCTACAGTCTTTTGTAAGTATCTCTGCACACAAGGTACCACACAACAGGTTAGGAAGAGGAAGAAGGTAATTACAGTAAGAACTGCCATCCCTATTTGGAAAAGAGTCCTTTACCATCAACTCATCCATCCAAACCATTTATCCCAAGAGTTAGGAACCCCTGAATTTTTCTTTAATTCATCAGAGAGATTTTCTAATTTCTCTATGGCCATGGTTACCTTACCATTAGGACCAGTATTGTCCACGATAAAAGTACAACATGTCATCGTCTCAGGGAGTATTTTACATACACACCCCTTTTCAGCTAAAATCATGTCTAAGGCTATTCTATTTTGAAATGTCATGTGAGAGGTAGCCTGTAACTTCGGCTAAGCCCTGTAGCCGAATCGTTGTTAGTTGTAGTAGATGTAATTGATCCAGTTAACATTTTTATTAGCAGTGATGAGGGGGATCAAGGATTCGAATCCTGCTGCCACTTCATCTCTGGCTTTGAATTCATTTGGTACCCTTAGGTACTCCAATGGCATATATATATACATGTGGGTCAAAACTACCTCGGATAGGACTTTCTCTTTTTACTCTAAGATGTGTATGTGATGAATCATATGGACCTTGGTGGTTGTCAGGGAAGATGTGTATGGGCATAATAACTTTAGTTAAAGTACATTCTCCCCACCATAAGCCACTCATTTTTTACCTAAGTTGCATGTCACCGCATAACCAATAAATGTCTCCCACAGATTTAATCTGATTCACTAATAATGTCGTGGGTGGATTCCCCGTAAATTGCACAGTAACCAGTAGGGAATTTGCCTACAAATTTACCTGTGGCTCCGTGCATTGTATAGCAAGTGTAATTACCTGGGTACACGGTGACTCCATCCGGTGGTCTGGTGTTCCCTTGAGTAATTGGGTAAGCCTTTTTCCATGATTCACATGCTGAGGAATTTACAATTGTTTGTGCATAGAGGCTTAAGAAACATGTCTCAACATCGGGGGATAAATTTAGAGGCACTGTACCTAAGTGGAGTCTAGCTCCACCACAAACATAACAGTTGATTTTATTATGAGAGTTAGCATTATACCTCATCCATTCAAGCCATAGGTTAGTATGTGAAAAACCAGTCTCCACAGCCATAGTGTCTTCAAATGTGGATTAGCAATATCCACCATGTCCTTAAGAGTCTTGATGTGTGGTTTCAGGGGATTTACTGTCATGTGTGTTGACCCTACCCAGTCGGGTGATGTAAGCATGTCTTGCAAATAAAATGTTCCCAACTTGTTGTATGAGCCACCCCCTTTCCAGTACATTCCCATTACATATTCCCCAGCATCACCTGAGCTGGGATGTTCTATGTTTAAGGTTAATTTTATTGGTGTA